AGTGTTATTACAATAGCGCTGTTTGCACGCTCTAAATTTACAGTCCTGCTTTCTTGTACTACATTCCACCATAGTTCCACCTTAATATGCTTGTCATGTTCCATCGCGACTATACTGGACCTTAACGTGGTGCCATGGTCTGCGTGCCTCAGCGACCCATTACGCTGGTTTGGGTGGTGCTTCTCGCATCATCAGAGCTACTTATTCCAGATTGGTCAGTGGTTGAAGGCCAGACTAATTTAGTCTCTTGGCTCTCTAGATTGCGTGAAGGGTGGCTTCTTACTTCTTTACTTTGACTGTAACTTGATGCCAAGATCCTTTAGTTTTACGGTGAGGAATTTGAACCGAAGGCTTGGGATGAGAACCCTAATCGTTCTCCTGTCTATGCTTGCGAAACCTGGCAATATCTTGTCCACTCAATACACTGGTAAACTCTTCACAAAATTTATGGATACTCTGGCCATGTAAGATAATAATCAGCGGTGTCTTATCTGCTGCATCAGGCAGGATGGATAGAGGCAAGGATGCTACTTTTCAGGCCTTCTCATTTTCTTATTCCCACTTTTACGCTTCGTCATCCTTATCGCCCCGATCCAACTTTTATCATCCCTATTTTCCACTGACAATTATTGGACCACCCCAACCTTGCTTTGATAGCCGCTTGTCTTTTAGTTTCGACTCACGCACATTCACGAGGTGTCACTCTTGTCTAGTCTACATGCGGACAACTTCAGTTCATCTGTTCCTATTTGGAGCCTTCGCTAAAATTGACATGTTTCAACGTGCGGAACTTGCCCGAACGCTAGTGAACCCATCAGAACCTATCGGAAACATCCATATAATACTCCAGCTCTGTGCTTACCCTGTGCTCTCCTTCGTGGTATTTTCACGTGTCTGGAGGTTACGCATCTTCAAATGCCGTTCAAATCAGCGTGGGCATCGTTTTTTGAGCCTCTGGGTGGAAACTGCACTTCCACTTATATGCATGACACACTATCGTCGTTTTCCTAGACATCAGAGGTGCTTACTACTCTATAGATCGATGTGCTCTTCGTGAATGTTTGGTCAGTATAGGTGTGCTTGTGAAATACGTAAATATCATAAGAGCGCTTTACGCGCATAAGTCCCGCAAAGTAAGAGCTTATTGCAAGCTATCGGCACCCTTTAATACCTCCAGAGATGTGAGGCACAGATGCGTATTGTTGCCTTTCCTTCGTAATTGTTATTAATTATGCTACGGAAACCGCCTTCACTGGACACAACTCAGAAAGTGTGGAGCTGCTTCCAGTTGATTGACTTGGAGCATGCCGATGATATTTTCCTGATATGTGATAGCTCACAAACGTGTCAAGAAGTACTCTACAGCTTAGCACCGGTTTTCAACCGTATTTGGCTTTGTTTTGCACCCAGGGTTGGCAGGGTCTACTCCCTGTTAGTGGAGATCTGCTAAAAGTCGTTTATCGAAAATTCAATTATATGAATAGCTGTATCACCGCAAGTGGAATGGAATGTAAAGGGATAAACCGTATAGCAAAAGCCCGAGGTGCTTCTTCCGAATTTCGCCACATATGATACCGGTGCGGTACGATTCTTCTCCTGAAAGACAAATTCTACATTGCACCCACCCATTGTCCACCCAATCTTCCTGCACGGTTGTGAAACCTGATCCATCAGATCGACATACATGAAAAATCTAGTGTCAGTTGGATACCGGTACCTTACAAGTTTAGCTCACATCTAGTGGAGACATTATCTAAGCAATGAGGGTGTTCGGTGTTTTGAAGAATTGGACCGCTCAACACCATTATTTCACGCATCAGGTTTGGGTGGCTGAGTTGTGTTACGCATTCCAGCACACCGACTGTCACTACATGCGTTGTTTGCACGGCCTGGAGCTGGATGGACGAAGAGGAAGTGAGGTTAACTGATGACTTGGTCAAATAGAATGAAGGTTTTCTCTTCGAATTTGGCCTCGGATGTGGACTCTCGGCGCCCTGGTTGGGTCCCGAAGGACAACGAGCATGTTTGGTTGGACTTGGCAAAGCACCGATCTCAGTGTCGTTCCTTTGTAGCACTCCATCCTTCTCATCCCACGCCACAAACCATGCTGTCAGTGCGGGTGCGTAATAACAAAAAGCATATTCTGCACTTCTTGCTACTAATTATTTTGTATTTTCTTCCCTCAAATAACCTGCTGCATTTTATCGCGGCACAATAGTTATGGCGTTTCTCCGGCTAGAATGTTGAATGATGATGACCTGTCACACTCATGATGCTTAATTATCTACTCGATTGATATGACAGGCATTTTCCATCAGACATTTTGCGCAATTACCCATTTGTAGTGATGTTAAATCCTGAATATGTACATACCCGAGTGCATGAACCCTATTTTGATTTGAATTGACTTGACACTCCCGAAAATTCCCCTGAAATAGCTAGTAACGAGAAGTCCTTCTATAGCGTGTTCCGCCGGTGGCCGAAAGGATTGCACGCCGCGCTTCCAGCACTTACGTCACCGGTTCGGATTCGCGTAGGGACGAGCATTCTCGCGACCGGTGGTTGTCACGTGGCAACGAAGCGTTGGTACAGCGTGCCGATGTACTGCTAATGACTTTCTTCCTTTTTCTTTCCACAACTTGTACGCATGAGCTAATGTCGGTCGCTTACTGTCTGTGCTTGCACTACGCTGCGCAGTTTGTCCAGGGAATCGCCATTTTCCCCTCTGAGCGAGCCAACTACTTTATCCGTATGTTAGGATTAACATGCGGAACACATATTGATAATTCTAAGACTTGAGTGTCCGAGAGGCCATTTATTTTCGTCGCGCGTTTTGTTTCATCACGTTTATCCACCGAAACGAAGGGAGTCCATTTGACAACAACGGAGACACGGTGATTCCTCTTCCAAATCCCGAACAATTGAGGGCATTCGCCACAAGCGGATCTCCAATTTAAGCATAGAACTAGCTGATGCATCATTTTCTGAAAGGTGCTTCCTACTTCCAAATGCGGAATCGATCTGGCGCCATTCCATTTGTCTTACTGATATTGGTAGCAATAATACGACTCTATGCTTGTGATAAATGGCGCTCAATCGGCTTGTATATCACTATTTTACCCTGACAAGTCGGAAAAAGTACTCACGGAGTAGGTGTTGCACGGATTCTGTTATTACATTCATAGCGAGTCATCGTCAAATGTGGTATTTCCTCTCACTGAAGTTTCTACTTTGAATGGCAGTTAGTAGGAGTTTCTCATAAATCTCGGCCCTATCATTAACTTGAACAGTGATGTATCAAAACCCGTGCTCGGGAATTCGACGGACACCGATGTCCTCTTTTGTATTTGAATTATTAGTAAGAAGACAATAAAAATATCCAAAAGGAATGAAAAAGAAGGGTAAAGCGTCAGGTGGAATAATTCGCAGTCAAAATAAAAGAGCGAATTGAACAATACTTCATGGTTGTACCAAATTCGATCAGATATGTAGTCACTACCGAAGCGGCTGCTGAACTTTCATCGTCAACTGGACTATTTGCTTGATGCATTTCTGCATGCCGTTTCACCACATCCTCGACTGGTCACGTAGAAGCTCAATCGAACTGAGTGCGCCATCGGCAAACAATACCCACCGCGCTAATAGATCAGCAAGCAGGTGGCCTGGCCAGCATAGGTGATTCAGGCTCAACAAGCGCCAAACGCAGCGTCAAGTTTCAGTGTCACTCACTTACCTAATTCGCGTACAGTACTAATGAAACACATCCACTCTTTCCATATCCCCAACGTGCTGCATTCATCACTGGTCTATACCATGGCTCGTGTTCCCTTCACTCAATAAACTGCAAATGTGGTCGGGGATTTTGAAAGCCCCTAGACCCACGCGAACGTGTGCATCATACTCTTCAGTGATAAGTTTACCAGAGGTAAAGTGACAAACCATTTCCAGCGACTGCTCGGTGACAATGAAAACTTGCAGCATATCAGCTCAGTCCATTTAACGGTATTCTGTACGTTGTGAGTGGGGAGTGAATGCCAAATCATGCAGTGCCATGTGTTGATTTATTGAACAGCTCTTGCATAGCAGCTGGAAGCGACTGGAAAAGAGCCATATCTTCCTCGTACTTAAAGTTCCACAGTCGATCAGATAACGGAGCTTTTTATACTGAAAGACTGGCAAACACAAATGGATCATGATCATATGGATCATCACGGAAAATGGAGGCGCATGGTGGTCGGACACAGTTTTTTCGTTCTTGTGAATTCAGCGGACAGATTCCCGTAGACACACACAAGGCACCCTGGAGTCATGCTATGGAGAAATTAGAGTAGAACGAAGTTTCTCGGGCATGCTTTTCAAGTATCATTGCGATCAGATGATTCGACGGCAATGAGGAAGGAAGATTAACATGATAACCCGTTCGTAAGTATGATGGTATTCGATCACTAGACGATATGTTCGCTTTCTGAAGCGACCGAGCCAAGTTTGACTTGTGCTGAGTCGACTTTCATCAGCATTGCTGTTTTACATTTGCTGTCGTCGACCGTGGAAATTTTTAGACAAACATTAGATAGGGTCATGTGGTGGCACCGCGGTTGTTAAACCGCCTTTCGAAATTTTGAACGCATGGTATTAAATTAATTATCCATCTTTTTCAGTTATTGTCCCAGTCATCTGAAGTTTTCCTGGATCCATACGTCGAGTGTGTTCCAGTGTTCCCACTTATACTCACAATCCACTAATGAGCCAGACCAACTCGGAGATTCCTAGTCGGAATTATCGGGTAAAACGCAAACATGAACTTATCGACATAATCTATCTGTGCAATTTAGTAAAATGAAGCACTTGTGCCCATTTGGTTTTCACTCGAGCAAGAACAATGGGTCATAACACTGGTCATCTATTTCTATGTTCAGTAGATGACCTTACCTACATACCATTTCCCTGTTATCCATTATCCTTAAAAATGGTAAATCTAATTTACTGTTGTTTGGTTTTAGGTTTTGCTTGTATCCAGTCGCGACGGCGTTGGGCTACCTGAGTTTTGGAGCAAAGTCCTGGAGTTCCAAGCCAAGCAACTTGCATCTAAGCAACTGCAGAAAATACGGAAGCAACAGCTAACTGTAAGCTATTGTTTATCGATTTGCTTGTCATTTGGCAACAATCGGTAGTCGTTTCAGTTCCGCATATTTTATACCTCCCCCGATTCTTAATACTCGGATGCTTACACCTCATCTGTCCCAATCAGTTCGCACTTCATTAAATGAAATGGCGTATTTTGTTAAGAATCAAAGTATGGAAATCTGCTTTTTTTCTTAAACCTGACCGTACAGTAAGCTCACAATACGTAACGCAGACTCAACTCCCACATAAACCTGAACATGCTGACAGAATAATGCGTACTGCGGCATGCACTTCGCGCTTTCTCGTAATAAATCACCATTACATGATTGCATCCACATGTTAACACTGGTAGCTGTTACTGAGGAGGCGTTTGAAGTCATTGGTTGATTCGCATACATGCATAATTCCTGGCGATCGAGCCATCAAAGGCTGTTTCGCTTATTAAGTGGGTCTGTGTGACTTTTAGAGACTAGATCGTGCCTGGAACCGATGCTATACAGGCTTACCAGTCAAAGGAAAACAGTACGACACGCAGAGCAGTCGAGATCGGAAACAGATGCTACGACCCGTATGCATCGTGAACTCCTTGTCCTTGGTCACCAGCGCTTGCAAGCCCCTTCGAAGCCACTCAGTATTTGACCAACGACGCTCCTTTATGTGTGCATTTCTGGTCACAGATGTCCAAACACCCAATCTTGGACTCGGCTTTTTGCAGCACTGTGGCTTACTTATGGACCTGGAGTGGCATGTAGTCGTTTATTTTTCACCGAGCTCGGAAATTTGATTGCACACGTTTCGCCACCATGCGAAGTGTCATCACCATTGCGGTAACATGCAATCTTGCTGGCCGAATCATCAATCGGTGATTGACGTGCACCCCCGTGGGTTTTACTCAGGTCATGGACCGACGATACAACCGGTAAAATTGAACCGTGCATATCACCGCACTGACGACGCCACCTCGCATGGTGGCGAAACGTATGAAACCAAATTTCAAAACCCGGCGAACAAATGAACAACTAAATCGCCAAGCCGAGCTACTAATATTCCGAAACAAACAGTTTAAGCGAAGCTGCATCGATTAATAGGCCGCCTTACGAACCTCATCGTCTGTGGGACCTTGCTCGACGACGTGCAAATCGGTCCCGTGTGCATAAAACAAACGAGCTTACCCATCAGGTAGATGCTCCTCGGCAGCTTTCTACGAGTCTTCCATCCAGCTGTTTACTGCCTTACACAACGGATGATGCGAAACACCATATCCTTATGAAAGGACCGCTTGTTTTCGTGACATACAAACGAATGACTCTCGAAAATCTTACATCTACTAGGGCCCGAATTCCAACACATGCTCGAACTAGTTATAATAAGACTATCAAAGAACCCTTGGGTATCATCAAAAGTCAGGAGACTGGCGTTCGTATGGCGATTATCGCGCTCTGAACGACGTTACGTCTGGCGACTTCAGTTTTCTCTCCTAGCTAGACTTTTTCGGTGTCCTTTAGCTAGTGGGATTGTACGTTTTGGAAGTAAGCACATATCTCGCCAAATTCATCTGTCTTCTCGTGCTTCCTCTAAGTTTTGTCGAATCTAGGCGCCAGCTTCGCCACTCTAAGGCCGTGTGCTTCATGTGCCTACCCCGCTTTACACTACTTACCAATAGCGCATTTAGTTTGAATGAGCCCCTCTACGTAGACACGAGAGTATGAAAAGTCTGGTCTGGATTAGTGAGTGTTGTCTCTAGGCGTTGTTATCGGCGACGAAATATCCCCTAAAATATAGTGCAGTTACGAACTTAATGATACTCCCGCGCTCGCTCCTTTGATCCTGTCTTCTCCAACTTGTTTCTAATCCCTCTTGATGTGACTATTCCTCTTCTCCAGTTCTCCTACTCGTGTTACCTTTACTTAGTGGTGACGCGAATCAAGGCAGAGGCAGTCATTGCTCTCCGTTGCACAGGTCACTGTCGAACAACTGGACCAAACCGACTCAAGCTGAATGGCAAAAGTTCATCCGTAATACGGTAATGAGCATCACTTCCGAGGTATAGAAATCTTCTTCTAAGACAGGCTTTGGATCATCTTAATTCTTGCGCAACCTCAAAGCGTTTTGTAGGAACTCAGTAAACACCTTTGCGATAACTATGTGCAAGCGCAACGCCAATATTCATCGTGATTAGATAGGATATGACGCGAGAGGCGGATGGAGAAGGAAACTCAAAACACAAACGACACTGAGATAGGCTCTTTGCCATGTCTAATCAAATGTAGGTTGGGGTCAACTCTTCTCTGCACATCTATTCAATGCGATATAGCACATATCGCAGGTAGTGATCAATCATGGTAGTTAGTCATCTTTTGCCTATTGCTCGGTGTCTTCAGTCGCTGACTCATGAGAAAAGTTCGGATCCGGTAGACGCGTTCCACTGACGAGTACCAATAGGACGAAATGGCTGTCTAGCGGATCCGTGGTGGCTGTCTGATTTAATCCGGCTCCGAAGAACCTTCTCAAAAACGGATGTGATACTACGCAAAAAGTGCAAACGCCATAGTTCACCTGGAAAATGCAGTGGTTGGTCACCTATATTTGTTCAAAACCGTAGTGCCACTGCAGTGCGTAATCGGCATAGTGTGGCTAGCTCGGTTACATTCTGCACGGCATTACGTTGATCATTTTGGAATGAGATGGAAACTGTCCCTATTCTGCGAGCTAATGCGAACGCTACCAAAGTATACTCACCAGGTGTCAGCTGAAGATCAAATCCGGGTTACACCGTTCTCACTGAGTACCGAGGGTCCTCAATTTACAAGGTGACCCAAGAACAGATGCCTCATCAGTGATCCATCCACAGAGTGAAGTGGGATGTTCCGACTTCATCTCAATAGGCGACTATCTCTCCCAAAGCGATGTAGTCGGTCAAGCCGACGTACGCTAATATCGGATCCACCTTGGTTCCTATCAAGCATGAAGACAGTCACTCGCACATCCTTCACCCACTAAACACGCAACAACTCGTTTAGGCAAGTGATAGGCCTTCAGCATTGCGAATAGTTTCCTGTAAATGCGGACAACCATAAATCGCCCACTGTTTGTTCTTTTATGATAAAATTAATGGCTTTGGCAAAATATTCCCGTCGTTTCAGTAGATATTATGTGATACACTTCGTTTTCCTTATTCGACAGGTGTGGATGTGGAACTACATCAAGGAAGGCATTTGGAGGTATTTCCATTCCCACCCTTTAATTAGCAATGAAATTGGGAAAATGGAAACAAAGGTGGCAAACGGTGAGATTGCGCCAGGACCAGCTGCTGAGCAGCTTATTCGCACATTTACCCGTGAATTGCAAGGCTAATTTCTCGGATCTTTTTTAAGTTATCTCTGATTATCATTTTAGCTCTTGTGCGTATTTTGGACCGCACCTAAAAGTGAAACATTCCGTTCTGTTTCTAGATTTTTGTGCATATTAAGTCATCATCCTCACCATAAATTCCTCAGCTATTGTGCCGCAGTTCAGTACAATCACATACTCAAAAAGAGACAAAAGCAAAAAAACTAATATTATGTCATAATTTTTGTTATTCATTGTTTGTACGAGATGTTACACGGAAGAGGGAGGGACAAGGAGACTCACAACACAAACGACATAGAAGTGGGCGCTTCGCCAAGTCAAACCAAACGTCTTCATCCTCCTTCAGGCCCAAACCACGGAGTCGAGAGGCTACAACCAAGGCCAAATTCGAAGTGAACGCTTTCATTTCTGTTGACCAAGTCATCAGTTAACCGCACTTCCTCTTCGTCCATCCAGCACCCGGCCCCGTAAACAATGCACATTGTGGCAGTCGGTGTGCTGGCATGCGTAATACAGCTCAGCCACCGGAGTTTGATGCGTGAAATATTGGTGCTGGGTGGTCAAATTCCTCAAGACGACAAACATTGTTGTCACGCTTACTGTTGTAACGCTGGACTCGCATCTGCTCTCGGAGTAACTGCACTGCCCAGTCGAAGACGAAAACACAACACCCAGGCCGAAGTATATTAGACACAGAACACGGTTCATTTTATAGGTAACAATCTCCTGTTGTAATTTCCCGGATTGACTCACGCCATTTGGTCTGGACAGCTTTCAATCCTACTTGCGCCCTGTCACGTAGCAACCTGTTTCATGCTGACGGTTTGATTTCCTCAGCTTCCCGCGTGCCTTAGCCGTGTTACCGCCGTTCGGGTAGCAACCCGTGTGATGACGAATGGATTTCATCAGCTTCCGGTGTGACTCAGCCCTAGTACAGCCGGTCGGGTAGCAACCAGCGTCCCGATGAAAGCGTCTCGAAATCGTGTCACATCCTTATACTGCGGCCTCCGATTAAACACTCGTTGTTCAGATAATGTCTCCAATGGATGTGAGCTAAACTTGTAAGGCACCGGTAGTCAACTGACACTAGCTTTTTCATGCCAGTCAATCTGATGGGCCAGGTTTCACAACCGTGCAGGAAGATTGGGTGGACAATGAGTGGGTGCAACGTAGAATTCGCCCTTCAGAAGGGTCGTACCGCACCGGTACTATTTGTGGCGAAATTAAGTAGAGACACTCCGAGCTTTTACTATACGGTTTGTCCCTTTATATTCTATTCCACATGCGCTGATACAGCTGTCCTTGTAATTAAATCTTTCAACGACTTCCAGCTGATCCCCACCAATGGTCAGTGCAGGGAGTAGACTCTACCGTTGCTTAATCAATAACGAAGTTAGGTAGGAAAGGCAACAATACGCATCCGTGTGTCACATGGCTGGAGGTATTAAAAGGCAATGATAGGTTGCGATATGCTCTTAGTTTGCGTGGATTGCGCGCGTAAACCGCTCTTATGGTATTTACGTATTTCACGAGTACACCTTTTCTACCCAAACATTCCCGAAGAGCGGATCGATCTACCGAGCAGTAAGAACTTTTGATGTCTAGCAACACGACCACGGTGTATCGTGGTAGTGCTCAAAGGATTGATGCAAAGTGAAAATGGTGGTCAATCCATGCTCGATTTCGACGAGACCCGGCTTGCGCTTCAAGAATTTGGTTTCAACGAGTTCTAGTCAGTATATGAAGAGCGACAGAGACAAGTGACTTGAAGATGGTATAGCTCATATCCATACCACCATGACCGCTACATCCAAAACTTGAAATACGACACAGCAGCAGCTTACTTGGTTGCAGCAGTTTATTGTTCGCATAGTCTCACTCGTTAACGTGACTGCTAAAATTCGCCAGTAAGCCTGTCTCTTTTGTTAAGTACGGACTGAAAGCAAAAGGGGGGATGTTACCTGCATGGCCGTGTTTGTTGTGCTCTTCATGACTTCTTTTGCACCGTACTTACAAGGCTACAATTGTTCTCGAAGTGATGTATTACCTAACACTTCACTCGAGCTCTGTTGTTTTCAGAACAAAGTCGTCACAGTACTATTCCGGTACCTACAGAGAATTGCAAATGTTGTGCCCCAGAATAACACTGCGCCAGCACTTTCTCTCAGAATAAGGGGAAACCCAAAGCTGATGGCTAAAGAAAGGCTGTTAGAAACTCTACCATCTATTTGAGTAAAGTTGGCATAAAATCCGTCTACGAAACCTTTTGCGCCATCGGTTGCTAACACGTCGAGCCGCCTCCATTTGGACCTCAGGCGACCTGCTGTCCAATATGCGCATAAGCACATGCGAGCCTCCTCATATATGCAATTATTGAGTAGAATGGAGAATGACTACAAGTACTATACGGGGGAATTAACAGAGTTAAACAGTCGTTCCCGTGTGGCACGTTGTTTTCTCTAGTGTGCTCGTCCCTACTGCGAATTCTACGGCTACACTAACTTGTGCAAGCAGGGATTCATTGATGATCCAACTACCTGAAGACGTTATTAAAGGCAGTGACTATCACGATATACAAGTTGGATGGTTCCTTTTTGAGAAGTCATTTCACTATTAAGGGCGAAGTATCGGGAGTTCTACGAAACTAGTTCAACTCTAACTGTCACCTAGAGACGCTTGACAAGACAAAAATCAAGAACCAACTTCGGACAAGTGTTCACACCGATACTAGTTTTGAAAATGATGGGATACCGGACTTCCTTAACTACTGTCATAACAATCAAAAACTACTCCATAATTTGCACTACTACTCCGCAGCCAAACAATCGAAACCGGAAACCACACTGAAGAGTAGAAACATGCAAGTATGCCCTAGTGTGCAGTCCAGGCTTGTTGAAATATTCGTCGGTATCACGGGGCCTATACATTAATAACACTTTGATACCTCAGACAGCCATCGTGTAAAGATAATGCAACACTAGTGAAACAAAATCTTCACGATCCTCATATTAACGTACGAATAATTCAACACAACACATGCAGTAGCAAAAACGCTTTCGGCGACGGTTACGAGCAACACAGATGAAGTCTCGTGTATAGCAACCGGAAAATGATAACAAACAGCTTTATCTGGCTGTCAACGACTTCATTTCCCGCTGCCATGTCAATGATTTTGCTTCGTGAACGTTACGTCCAACAGCTTTCGGTGAGACAACAAGACTCTTCTCGGTAAGCATACATATATTGCAAGTGCCTGAACTGTAAGGAGGAGCACCTCCTGACAAACGGATCTGTGAACTCAAAAAGGATCAAAGTCCAACAGTTTCCATAAATAGAGCAGAATAATCGCATTGGTTAATCAAAAGAATATACTCGCACGATCTATTACTATTATTGGTAGGTAAAGAACGTTCAAGAAGATCGCTACGAACAAATAGATATCGGTACTCTGCACTTTGTTAACCATCTCGTGTCTGGCAGCCATTACATTGCATCATCAACCTTGCCTTTTTGATCGCTTAATCGGGGGCGGGTAGGTTTCTGCAAACAGCCAATCGGAGTAGCCGAGGCGGCCTTGATGACATGATGATGATGGCATGAACTAACACGAACTATTCAAGGTCGCTCGTTGATCTAACGGACTGGTTTGGTCGTCTGCATCCAGTGTTCTTCTAGGCATTTTATCACCGCGGAAACGTTAGTGTCAGCCAATACAGGTGACGGTCCATAGACAACCATAGTCCGAGTTGAAGGCGCTTAAAAACCAAAGAACGAATGTATGAGGTCCCAGTCCAATTCTTTAACTAACCATAACTCAACGCGACACATAGACATGAGGACAAATGAAGAACTCCCTAAATAGTTCTGCCGCGCCAGTGCTGTTTTTGATTGTCTCGTTCCCGGACAACTTCGTGTCTCTTGATTCTAGGATTCTTTTCAGATACTACCGTCATTTATGAATTTTGTCGCGAGTCTATTGAAGGTGATCGTGTGGCCATTCGAGCTCTAGCGAAGTGATCATTGAAAAGTTCGCACCAAGTAACAATATTTATTTGTATTAGTTGCAGGGGCCAGGTAATCTACATGCAAACATATGTTCACATCCACTATCAGATAGAAGGGTGTTGGTGAGTCCATATGTATAGTACCGACTGAAATCATAAGAAGTATGGTAACTTCCATCCACAAGCTTCCGAAGCGGTCGACCTTCGAACGGAACTTCTCCGATATCTGGGTAATGTGCAAGTCCGAAACCAATCCCATTCTTTACGTGAGTAGTAAATGTGTAAATCCGATTTAAAGCTGCTTCTGAGTCAACTTGCGTAGTTTTTGATGGCTGTACAGGCTATTCGCTTCCAACTGTATCTACGGTAGCCCGCACCCCATCGACAAACGTTGGAACCACTTCAGCCCAAAGGGATTTTTTCTGCATGGGATCCAAACTACTCTGAAGCATCTCATTTAATGAAGAGGCGGGAGACATTGGTAGTGCGATCACACAACCCCCACATCCAGCACCAGTAAGTTTGGCGGCAAGACCGAGTTTGCTGAGGTCCGCAATGATATCTTCAATCGCTTGGCACGAGACACCCAATTTGGCAAGCAGATCCTGACTCTCGATGAACAATAAAGCCATCCGGGATACGTCCTGATCGGTTACGAGTATATCCAAGGCTCGATCGCTTATAAGTCCTAGTTTATCAAATATCGCCATAACAGAATCCCGATCTCTGTGGTAGAGATCGGCAACGGCCTTCACAGCGGTGGCTGTGGACCGACCTATTTTGCTGTCGACTACCAGGATGTTCCATGAAGTGTGTGGAGAACTGATAGTAAGGTAATTAAAGGCGGAACCACTTCTAACGAATCGAATGGCACCTCCAAGGGTACTAACAGTCGTATCCACACCGGAAGAACTGGTGTGAATTATGGCTTCTGCCTCACGTGAGAGTGACATTATCAATTCTAGCTGTTCTTCATTCGGGGAAAAATTTTCGCCTAAAGTAGAGTATCCAGAAAGAAGAAGGAATGTTGTCGTAGCGGCGACACAAAACGCAGCAGAAGAGCCTAAGCCAGCACCAGTAGGTATGTTCGAATTGACATCCACTTTAACGGCGAAACCCGGCCGAAACAAAACGCGATCACAAAATGGAGTAAAAGCAACCAATTGTGCTGTGCGCATCAAAAGATAATAACAAATGCAGATGCTGTGAAATACCGGAGTAGTCTCCACTTGTGCTGTGCATGCGGCCAGCTCGCGCGCCTCCTCAAAAATATTCTCAGGTGATAGACCACCATACCTGTCTTCAAGCTTTCCTGGCCGGTGCAGATTTATCACGGTCTTGGCAATATCATGTAAATGCACTGATAGTGAACTGGTATCGGTAGCGCATGAGTCGATTTTTGATGAAAAAACGCACCGAAGTCCAATGGATACGGCAATCGCAGGATAACCGTAGACAACAGCATGTTCGCCAAATAATATCACTTTTCCGGGTGCAGAAACTTTCAGCATATTCACCTAAAAACAAAAGTTAAATTTTGGTTCAGTAAGCATGTTGCAGACACCACAGTGCGGTGCTACAAAACATCACCGCATTAAGACAAACATCAACGTCTTGACAAGCCTCATCATCGTACATGTTAGCTGCAGGTGGAAAACACCTCAGCTATTGTGCCGCAATACAGAAAAGAAGCGAAAAATGAAACAGAAGCATGCCGGCTGTCACCAGTAACGGATGGACATCGTTCCGGGGAGCTAACAGCCGGCTATTGTGCCGCAAAAATTCATATTATGCCTACTAATTGGGATCGGGAGGGACGAAAAAACTCACAACACAAATACCCTTGAGGTCGGCTCCAGTGCCAAGCAGCACTGGACAGATTAGCATTGGGTGTCACCCGTTTCGGGCTATACTTTGCACCCTCGAAATGCAAAGCTTTCCTCCAAGATTGGCGGGGACCGCCTCCTACGCTGACAAGCCTGATGAGTATCGAAGCGCCTATGCTGTTGCAATCGAACAAAGGAAAGGTGTTTGGTGGAATAAAATTTACCCCAATAAGGTGCGCCGGTGCGATATTTCAGAGGATAAAACTAAGCGGCTTCAAAAAGAGAAGGGCGAACAAGCACAGCACGTGCCCCGTTTGGACAAGTAGCCGCCTTGCCAACTTAATCCATCTAGTTGCGATGTACTTTAACCGAGAAGCCCGTTCGAACGCACTTGAAAGCTGCAGACACTACATTAATCCTCTTTCTATCAGGTGAATTATACTGCGACATCATAGTGGAATATAGGATACTACGTCAACGAAGATAGGTTCCCAAGAACGTTATGTCCTAGCCTTGAAACCGCCTGGAAAGAAGTATAAGTAGAGCACCAGACTACCACCTGGTGAATGGGAACGTATCTAAGACCAATTGATGCGCTCCGCAGACATCTGTAACAGATGCTCGCCATTGTCCGTCCGCTCGGAGTTAAGTGCACACTTACCACCTAGCAGAGCTACTGAAAAGCTCAAACGACCCACATGCGCATTCATATTCCCCGCAAAAACAAAAATATCGGAACTGGTAACACTGAGAAGCAGTGCATTCAATCCGTGGTTGGTCGGGGCATAAGTGGAAACTACAAACAAACATCGTCTAGTACTACTTCGGGAATAAACTTTAGCTAATGTCATCGAACGGGCTGCACAGAAACGGCTGCCCACGATAATCCAGTCAGCCTTCGAGCTGGGGATGATGCCTATCCCGGCTTGACTAGCACTTACCGCATCAGCGCCTCCAGATACGTGAAACCAAGTGGAATGCAGTTACTTCAACAACCACGTGAGAGTCTTTGATCGCAATTTTGGAAACGCAACACAGTGGTATTCATGGCATTCATCCTGCGTACTAGTGCAGTCTGCTGATCTATTTGCCTTAGAATGCGAAGATTGAACGCCGTCAGGGAAACGGGGCAGCGTGAATTTATAGTAGTATGCGATCGACTGGAGTCCAGTGAGAAGGTAGCCACGGATGAAAGAGCTCGTGGTATTGCAGCTGCTGTCAAGTAAAGCAATGGAGTTCGAGAGAAGAGTAGAGGAAACAGATGAAAAAGAAGGAAGACAGGCATCAATAGTAGCATGTGTTCGCTTGTCCGCCCTGTTAAATGTAGCAGATAAGGTGATCCTTGTGAAGCTGTGTGTGGTTGAAATTTGTTGAAATGCATAATTGTATGTGGGCCGAGATTCTGTCATGGCACCCAGAGCTAGGAGAACAATTAGGGTCCTCGACTAAAGCCTTTGGCTTAGGAACTTTTCCGCAAGGCTGCAGAATGGCAATGAATTGATTTTACTTAAACGGATGACATCCCACTTCCAACCCCAAATTTGGAGAACCATGAGACTGAATTCGTTTGACCTCCAACCTGGTAGGAATACCTCTCAATGAGCCCGGGGTCAGCACCCAGTATAATTTAATGAATCGAAGAGGTACACAGCGTTGCACCACGTTGAGATCCAGCCTCCTTGCAACAACCTAAAAGATTCGTAACAACTAGTTTCTCAACCGTAATAGACTATGAACCTTTGAACACGGTCAGCAGCCGGTGGTCGTTGGTGTGTTTGTGTAAAAACTGCTTGGTTTGAGGCTGGCGGCAAAACGCCATTGAACAAGCGTGGCACTCGCTCACTGAAAGGTAAAGTGTGGAGCTCGTACTCTACACTAGTCAAGCTCGGTCTGTAGCTCCATATTGTTTCCTTCTATGGCTAGGTTTTTAACGAAACATACTGTCGATCTCTCCCCTAACCTATTGACCCATCTGGCATGAGACTCTAAAGGCGCTCAGCGTGATTCGATAGGTCTTGAATGTACACAAGTTATCACATCGCGTGAATAGCCTATTCCACTGCGACGTGTACTGTTGCATCAGCTTTCTTAGTATCACGCATCTATCAACATGGATTGACATCACAAGTTGGACCAAGCCATTAGTAGATATATGCTTTTGGCTGTCGTGCTTTGCTTTGAAACTTTACGGCTCGTAGAGCACTACGATGTAAAGCGCGTTGTTTGTAGGGACCACGCTCAAGGTGTGGGAACCAGCAGAAATTAACTGAGTAAGCACCTCAGGTGATTGGCCAAAAGGTGAGCATGTATGATTGCATGGAAGCGGCTATTTAGAAAGCATGTTTCGGCTGCATCCACTATCCATCACTGTGCTGCTTGTGTCACGGAGATAAACGTATGACAGCGAGTCATTGGGGCTTTGGGCTACATATGCACGAAGCCCTCATTAGTACCCCAGAGGAGCTGCACTGTTACGCGCCGACCAACACTGCCATTGGTGTAAGAACAGACATTGCAATGGTCAACTATGCTGCACCAAGCGGTCGCTTTTAAGCCCATGTAACTTATGGCCCAAGTACCATGTAAAAACTTTTAAAAGGAAGAATACTTAAGTGTTTGGCACAAGTTCCTGTTTGTTGTGTAATCGTAAGCGGCTGTATACAGACAGGTGCGACTAAATCCATATTGGACTGGGAACACGAACCTGAGACGGTTGTAAGACAAAAACCTGTAGCACTACGCCACGGATCCCCATGAGGCAAGAACAACCACAGAGCTGAACTGACTTGTGTGCCTACCACAAATTGTTATAACGGTATGGCCAAATACTTTTCCAGACAAACGATCAGAGGTGCAGGTGATGCATTTCTGTCTGATTTTAAGATAGGTGGCTTACCACTTAACCTCCACATATTAATGATATCCTTACTCATGAACACTGAGAGAGAAGCTAGAACGACGTCGGTTCGTGGGCCTTTTGTTCAATTGCACTGTAGTAGAAACTCAGAGGGCACTGGCCTCAATTAGACAAGCTAACTACCACCTTCTGGTCCATGCACTGTATTGTATCCTCACTTAAGTTGTAGAGAGGGGAGATGATGGTCTGTGTGTGACTCTGAACGTGTGGTGCTATAGTGACGTGGTTTCACCGGCAACGGTAGGAAATAAGAGTGGCGTGAAGATCTCGAGTTCTTTAGCAAAGTGATGAAGAATCATCATCATCTGAAGCTGCAGCTTCAGCAGAGGTAATGGTGGTTAAACGCAAGAGCATGCTGGGTGGGCACAAAGCACGTTCACACAAAAAGCGTAAAGGAGTTACCATACTGATAGCATAACGAGTAGCGTAGCTAGGCCTAATCAGTCATCAGCAGTACGCCGGCACACGGTACCGACACCTCGCTGCCACGCGACAACCACCGGTCGCAAGTGGACCGAGAGAACGCGCGCCCCTACGCAAGTCAGGCGTGCAATCCCTTCGGCCACCGGCCGATGCTAAACCTTATCAGACAACACAAATTAGTACGGTTGACAGAACCGTCAAAAAAGTGTCAAGGCCGAAAAAAGCAGGTCTTGCCCTGAGGTGGTTTACGGGAACCCGTTAATGATTTCCTAACTCCGGTTGTTGTGGTAGATAAGGGTCTAAAAACGTTTCAAAAAGTGGTCTTTCCCTTTGGTTCTAAGCAGGTGGAACGTAAAACAGGTGTAACTGAGAGGAAGAAACGATAAGGATTATGTTATACTAACTGCTACGGTACAAAGAAAAAAATGGGAAGTAATGAAGGTAAGCTGTAAGCTTACTGACGTAGTTGTGGTCACTGAGACCCGGCTTTCTCAGTGATCCAACCAGTGACTTACTAACTGGTTTCTCCAACTACGTAATGGATAAACTCGGAAATCTGGCTGGTGAGGTGGGCTTTTGCTTATTAATGGTCACTACGGCTATTGGAGATAATTATATGTGTATCATAGTCCCTCCTCTAAGCGAGTGGGAAATACGGAGTTTAATAGCTTGTTCAGACCATCAGCAGTAGCTACACCGGACCTTCTGCCTATCGGCGATTTAATCTTTCGCATGCTGTTAGCATTGTAGGTGCTTAGGAAAGGAGACTGGTGGAATGAGTACACGCGAACTCCTTTGTCTAGCATGTTAGTTTTCCGAGGCGAAGAGCAATTGACTGCTCGCCCTCGACTTTGGATGTCGTGATAACCAGATACCGTCATTTGTCAGAGATACCAGCAGAGGCACCCATATGTAAAAGTGACCACTGCGTTTTTACCTTCTCAATAAATAATAAGAGGTTTTCGGCAACATTTCGACTGGTGAGAAACTTCGACAGCATCAACCCTAGTCAGTTACGGGACAAATGGGTTTCTGAGCAAGCGCATGCCAAGCCAAAACAGTGATGGAGCTTAACCAACTTCTTCCTATTTGTGGATGAGTTTGCTCCATTGTGCCACAGTATGCATACCAATATGCGCCGCTGGTGGTGTCGGAGAATTGTTTGGCCAATAAAGAAACGCAAGGATTCTTGGAAAATGTTTCAGAAGACCGGATGGTTCAAGCGTTAACTACATGGAATAAGATGCTGAAAGTTTGTAGCCAAATTGCAGGGAGAAGTGAAATACTACTATGAGGTTAGTTTAGCATCATCATCATCATACACGTTAGCTAGAGGTGGGGAACACCTCAGC